TATTCAGTGTTAAAGGGTAATGAGCTATAAAGTCATAAAAAAGACATGGAGGAATCTTAAATGTATATTACTAAGTGAAGGAAGGCAATCTGAAAATGCTACATACTATACGATCCAAATTACATGACATTCTGGAAAAGGCAAAATTATGGAGACAGTAAAAAGATCAGTGGTGCCAGGAGTTGGGATGGGGTAAGGATGAGTAAGTGGACACCAGAAGATTTTTTGGGCCCTAGAACTACTCCATATGATACTATAATGATGGATACATGTCATTATATACATTTGCCTAACCCATAGAATGTCCAACACACCAAATGTGAACCCTGCAAACTATGAACATTAGTTGACAATGATGTGTCACTATAGGTTCATCAATTATAATAAACGTACCACTCTGGTGGAGGATGTGAAATCTTTGTGCCTTGCTCTTATTTGCTGTGAACCTCCAACTGCTCTAAAAAAATAGTCTAAAAAAAGAAAGAAAGATACCCCAGTCCTGGAATCAGACATTTTCCATGGGTCATTTTAGTGGGAGATTAAATCAAGAAACTAAGATCTAGACAGTAAGTGTGCTCATTTGCTTCTAGTATATCTTTGCATCTAGGCCGCGTTAGTGATCAGAGTGGACGTAGAAGCATCTGCACATACACACGCTTGCACCATATGCTAATACTGGTAACTGTAATTCCAAGTCAACACTTCAGGATTCATTCTAGTCTTGTCTACCTTCATATCCGTATCTCCATTCTCTAACAGCGGAACACCCAGCTCTCATTATCATCAGTATATTTACTCATTTGTTCAATCTTACAATATATCCATCTAACCTCCACTACTGAGAAAAACAATCTTAGTAACTGAAATTTAATATTTGTTCATGTATTTTTCTTTTGGTCTTTAGACCTTGGTTATATAGTCAAAGAATTGTATTTGAAAATTACTATTTTTTTAAAATTATTATTCCTCCCTTCTGTGTGGTTATGTGATTCACTTGAATTCACTTAGGTCTTTTGTTGCTGGTTTTATTCCCTGCCCCACCCCCCCATTCTTTTCTATTTTCTTTCACCTAAAAAAGATCGAAAACATTGATATTGCTCCAAAAGCCAAAACTCTATGAAAAGTTGTTCTCAAAAAATTGTCACTCCCTTATTTCTTCTACTCCATTCACATCTATCCCAGATAATTAATTAACCAGGTAACAAATTTCATTAGTTTCTGGTTTATCTATCCTATGTTTATTTTTGAAAAAAAAAAAGGCATATACATGTAGAAGTTTCTTTTTGTCTTCTTTCTTACAGAAAAGGTAGCACACTATATGTAAAGTGTGCTAAAGCTTTCCTTCATCAATAATATCTTCTGGAAATACTTCATGTTAGCTCATAAAGATCTTTATCATTCTTTTTTTCCCCCAGCTGGACGATGCTCCACTGTATGAATGTACCATTATTTATTCATTTAGTTCCCTATGTATGGAAATTTACATTTTTGCCAATATTTTGTAATGACAAATAATAAATAATGTTAGGAAAATGTACTTATATTTTATTGAGGTATATAAATGTACTTGTATTTCCTTTAATATATATTAAATATATAAATATTTATACTTAAATATTGAGGGTACTTATATTTTATTAAGTCATGACTTTTAAATCAGCTTTTTCTTTTTCTCAAGCTAAACTCATGTAGAAGTATCGAAAAGCATTGGCCTCTTTTTCATGTGTTAAAAAGAAAAACTCATGACAATATGCTTGCTGAAAAGCCATCTAGGAATTATATGGTCTGGAAAACTGTAACTACATTTTGTGGAAGTAGAAATTGTACCACATATTTGTATAACAGCAAGGCAAGTGTGGTCTCTAGGAAGTATAGGCGAAGTTGATTAGATTGCAGTGTATACTTAAAAGTTGAATAATGCACTCTTGTAAAACACTCTTCAAAATTATTTAACTTCCCATGATATCATCATAGCATGTGCAAAAAAAATCTTTAGTGTTATCTTTTCCTGTCACGTGACTAGTGCAAACAAAAGAAATCCTTATCTTTTTGTTTCTATTCTGGCCCTTTATAAAATGGCATTAAGCACCATTCAAAACTTACACATTAAAGGTTTGGTTTGGGGAAAAAAAGATTTATTTTGTATTTCAAACAAATTATACTTGCTAAATTATGAAGCTAAAATTTTCCCAACAACTGAAAAGTCTAGCATCTTATATGCACAGAAAACTTTATAGTTTTAAAACCACTTTCCTGTGTATTTTCACATTTAAGTCCCATAGCAACCCCAGGCATAGTGAATGAGGCAAGGAGCTATATTGCACTTCTTTTACAAAAGTTGAGACAGAGGCATTTGGAGAGTTTAAGGAAATTGCCCTGGGATATAGGACTCCGGACCAAACCCTGAACTAGAATCCAGGACAATTTATTTTTTCTTTATAAAGTGGGATGTGCTTATCTCATAAGGTCATGTGGTGATCAAATAAGGTAATGCACTTGAAAATGCTAAAGCTGTAGAAAGAGAAGGTAGTTCTATTATTAGAGTAGTTGGGCTTTGGTGGCCATGTGTAAAATTTCCTGATATTTCTATCTATAAGTAATACAAGAGACTTAAACAGTCTGAGCTCTATAGATCATACAGCAGGACTTAAAGTGTTCGTGTGGGGAAGTATTTCATAGACTGAGCTAAGAACTCAAGGAGCAGGTGACAATGCTAGATATCCACTGTGGAATAATTAACAGTATTATATGTTGTACAGAACTTAGACCTTGAAACAAACCTCATTAAAAGGTACCTGATCTTAGTTCTAAAACCTTTAAGTATCTCTTCTGTAGAAGTAATCAATGCATGCGCTGGATACTTTAGTCATCCCGCTATGAGATTCACACAACTTTGATCTAACTTTCTTTGATTTAACACTGCAATTAAGAAGATTTGGTTCAAAGTAAAAGCTCATTGGTTGATGTTTTACACTGATGTGATAATGTTTACACAGATGTGCTTTGAAATCTTGCTTATGGTGGATTTGGGGGTCCTACTATAAGACAGACCGCTGTTATCTGAAGGGTGAAATGATATGACATTTACCTGGTACAACCTTTAAAACAGACTTAGAATATATTTTTCTAAAGTGATTTATCTGTTTATTGTTTTTAGCTAGTGTTTTTGTTTTATTTCATATCTATCGACAATAAATCACTCGCCTTAAGGACTCTTTTATAACTTGGTTGCAAGGGTAACTACTTAGGGCTGTAGTGATGAAAAGATGTAACTTTACCTACTTTAAAGCACCTGCCAATTAATTAGCAAAAACAAAACAAAACAAAAACCCTTCAGAGCAAATAAAATAAAGCAATCACGTCCATTTGTGCTCCCAGGTTCAGGCTTTTGCTGGACAGACCATGAAACAAGACTGCAAATCTAAACTACCAGACTGAAAAGCTAAACTTTAGGGATTCCCTAAAACTTTTTGCTCGGGGGAACATAAATCTGCCAAAAGCTTCTCAAGTCTTCTGCCACTGAAAAATTTTAATGGGAAGATTTGAATTGACTAGTGGTACAAAACCAAAATTTTAAGGTTTATATGGACAAGTATCCACCTCCCTCTCTTTAGTGACTTTTTATTTTACAAATATGCACAGGCACACTTACATTTTTACCATGAAATTTTCCTGTCTCAAAAACACATCAAGAATTAACGCCATTTACTCATTTTTTTAAATAATTGAAATGTGAACCAAACCAAAACAAAACAAAACAAAAAACTGACCTTAAAGAAAATGCCTAACCTAAAAAGAACAGGGAAATGCTCTTAGATTGGATAAGGGCGCCAGAGGCCACTCGTCATTTATGACACTATTACAGATATTCATTTTCTATTTGTGGCAAGTATAAGAATGTAAACCATCTCTTTTCAACCTATTTGGGTTTACCCTTAATCCTGAGATTCATGATTATATAATTATATTATGTTGATGAAAAGTCCATGACCTTAACACACAATTTAAAACGTCCATGTAGATATAAGGCAATCTTGGTTATATCATGTGCTATCTGAGTAAAGATAAACATTAAAGAGAACCTGGGGAGTGGGTGGTGTATGTGTTCCTAACCTAACCTTGATTATGTAAAGAAAATCCCCCATCTAAATGATAAAAGAAAAAGAGTAATGCTTGTACATTTTATTAGCGTTTTAAAATTAGTGAGTTAAACTGTCAAAGCTTTGATTTTCCTTTCATGTGTGTCTGGGCAGGTCTAAGCCTCAGGTAACGCCCTTTTTCCTTCTCTCTTTCTCTTACCTTTCTTTGCACCTGTCCACTGCAGGCTCCCAGCAGCTCCCAAGGAGTCCAATTCTCCCTTTCCCCCTTTTTCCTCCTCCTAACCGTCCCCTCCTCCACCCCTCCTCCCGCCTTCTCAGTTCCAGCCCCCCCTTCCCCTTCTTCTATATACCTGCCAAGCTGGGCTCCTTTTTAGCAGCGGTCTGTCACTGCAAAGGAGCTCACATCAAAGGTGGCTGCACAGCAGTAGCTGAACAGCATCACGGTTGTCCCAAAGACAACCCCCAAAGAGGGGCCTTAGCTGCGCCTCCCCGAAGTTGCTGGCTAGCTTTGGCCAAGTGTGGGAATGATTTTTGCGACAGCATGGATAGAGAACCGTCAAGGGCCCCTTTTGGTCACTTCCGAAGAGCAAAAACGTGTTGAGAGGAGGCCGGTTTAAGATTTCAAACAGAACCTCCCCAGTGCGCATGAAAGGACTTGATTAGCATATGTCAAGAGGACCCGCATATATACTCGCTGTGTATGTACACAGGACTCTGATCTGATCAGTTTGCGGAGTTGGAGCCTCAGCCCCCAGCCCCAGCCCCAGCCCAGCCTGGTATTGGCAGCGGCAGCGTATAGATGTTCCTGCAAAGCCAGCAGCCGGCTCCCACCTACCCAAGGAGAGAAGATCGCTCCAAGACAGTGAAAACTCCCCTGCTATCTCAGTGCAAAGTCCATTCAGCGACCTCACAGGAGTAACCGGGTCTTTTTGCGCCTGTTTCGCTATATTTTTTCTCCATTCACTTCCCCATTCCCGCTACACTTTTGACTGGGGCTTTTGTTTCCCGGATCCTCCGCCTCTCCTTCTGGCCCCTCCATGGCTCCCTTAGCCGAAGTCGGGGGCTTCCTCGGCGGCCTGGAGGGCTTGGGCCAGCAGGTGGGCTCGCACTTCCTGCTGCCTCCTGCCGGGGAGCGGCCGCCTCTGCTGGGCGAGCGCCGGGGCGCCGTGGAGCGCGGCGCCCGCGGCGGGCCTGGGGCTGCGGAGCTGGCGCACCTGCACGGCATCCTGCGCCGCCGGCAGCTCTACTGCCGCACGGGCTTCCACCTGCAGATCTTGCCCGACGGCAGCGTGCAGGGCACCCGGCAGGACCACAGCCTCTTCGGTACGTACCGGCACCCCAGCACCCCAGACCCCTGGCTCCTCTTCTCCACCCCGTGCAGAGGGAGCTCCCGGAACCCATCCGGTTCGAGGTGCGGGCTGGGACTGAAGGGCGGGCCAGCGCAGGGACTGGGAGGACTTCTCCTGCTGCCTTCCCGAGGCAGTCTCTAGCTGGCCTGCAGCTCCAGACGCTGGGGGCGGGAGGAGAAAGGGTGGGTGCTCCGCACGCACCTTGCGGCCCTGCCCTTTTCTGCTGCCTGGGACAAGACCTGGACTCGGAATCACATCTTTCTTGCACTTCTTACCTCGCAGGCAGTTTTCGTTTTGTTTTTTAAATCCCTGTATTATTTTCTCCTACTTGCTCTCACGTTTCCTCCAGTACCATTTACTTAACAAAAATTAATATCGGAAGCCTTCCTCTTCTTTAAGCCTTGCCCCACAGCTATGCAGTTAATCATGTATTCATGGCCTGTTCAGAGGGTCGCTCTCGTATAGGATGGGGGCATTTACGTAAATGTTCACCCCTGAAGAGGTAACAGATTAACTTTCAGGGAGCACCGTCGCTACTGGAAGGCTCACCTGGCTACAATTCTTTGAGCTCTTTAAGTTCTATTTGGGCGAGAAAGGGGGGAAAAAAGAGGCGTGGGGGAAGGCTACCCGGCTACTGAGCATGCCCAGTCGTTCAGCCAAGCTCCTCTTTAGAAATTGTGAAACGCGACAGCAGAGATCTTAGTATTGACCGTCTGTAAGAGGAAATGGGGAAGCGAAATAGGATATGGGTGGGAACACAGAGACGTGTTTCAGAATACCTCCAGCAATGCCTGGGAGCAGAAGGAGTTAAAGAAACAAGCGAATGATCCTTGTGACACTAGATTGGGAAATCATACGGTCTCTACTGTTAATTACTGCCTAACGCGCTGTGTAACCACCAGGTGCCTTCAACAGTCTGAGCCTTAATTCTTCTTTTCTGTACAATGATGGGTTAAATTAGGTGATGATTTAAAGATGCTTTCAGGTTCCAACATCTCAGGACCTTTCCTCCCATTGTGGGAGTTTTCATTATATTAGAGTTAACCTGGTAGCCTTCTCAAAGGATTTTTGATCATCAAACTTGGGACATCACTGGAGAGATTTATTGTATTTTTTAAAAGATACCATTTACTCATCGGCAGCAACGAGAAAGGGCCCAACATCTGTCTTCCTTTCTCTTCCTTGGCACTGAGGGATTCTTTGAATCTCATTTCTGAATGGTTTTCTCTTATCTTGTCCTTGTCCTTAGAGTCTCATTCCTTTTTTGACTTGCAGTCCTCATTAAAACTTTGGAGAAGTGTAAATCTCGGTTTGAGGGGCATTTGTAACTCTAGATGTAGAAATGAGCATGTGGTGGACATTTGGTAGCACTTAAAGGCTTAGAAAATTAACTTTTTAAAACCCATATGTTTGCAGCTTCCGCTGATCTCTTCCAAATTCCCATTGACTATGAGTCAAGAGTGTCATGACCTAGTGGCCAACCTTGGGGTCACTTTTAGAAAGTGGTTTCTAAATTGAGGAGGCTGAGATTCTGATTCTAAAGAACTTTGCTGACACCAGGTGGCTGAGTTTTCTTGCTTTTAAGAATTATTGCACTCCATTCATTCTAGTAAAAGATCCTTCAGCTACTAGAAAGATTTAGAAAAGAACACAAATGTGGTAAGGCCTATAAGTAGAGCAGGTAGAATTTAAGCTGAAGTAGTACTCAGACTCCCTTCCTACCCGCGCCCCCCCCCCAGGACCTTGTGATACATAGTATAGCCTTGGACACCTTTAAGACACTTGTGATTCACCTGTATTTCACCCATGACACGAGTTGCTTCTTTCAGATTGTGTCTCTTTATAAGACTATAGGAAGAGAATAAATCTATGGGAAGAGATTATAAATATTTGTAGACTTGATAACATTCATTAACCTGGTATTTAAATCATTTCCTTAAGGAACAAATGCTGTATATCAGAATTACGATCTTCTAGAACATGTTTTTTGCTAAAATTTTGCATAATTATTTGGTAATTGCAAAAATATGACTTAAGCTGATTTTGTGATGGTTTAAGTCACTCTGTGGTGGGACGCTACATATCAAAACCAAATATCTACTGTTACACAAAGGGAAAAGGACCATATTAGTTCTGAGCCTAAAGGAGGTTTGAACAGCCTCTACCATGCATTACAGTGCATCCTAGTGGTCTTGGATGGCTAAGACATTATAATTACTAGGAAGAAAGTTTATGTTCAGCATGTATAACATCATATGCTTCTCTCTGTATTTGCCTTCTTTTCCTAGCAATTCATTTATTCATTATGAAATTATTTTGCCATTTTTCTTTTAAACTCATTTATGTGTCATCAAAGTGAGAATTTTGAAAATGCTTGAGAATGATTATTTGTGATGTTAAAGTAAGTTACATGTTTGATAGTTTATACTAATTTGCCCATGAATGATTACATGAAAAATTCAAAATCCTGTATTTGAAATTTGAAAACCACATCAATAGAAACTAAACAAAAAGGTCCCAGTGAGGTTAAGATAATTTCCTATCTGATTTCGCTCTACATTTATAATAGAGTTTTCCTGCACAGTAGAACAGTAGGAAGATTTTACCTAATATGTAAACATGGAATCATTACTTAAAAAAATGTTTAACCTGAGATCAAACATATTCCTTTAAAGGCTTTTCCTTTATTCTCCCCTATTCTCCATAGATTTGTCTGATGTGGTTGCATTGTGGGTTGACTCACCTGTTTATTATGATTCTTAAAAAGGCTGGCTTTGAAAATGATACCAGAAAGACAAAGTACCTCCAAGTCTTTTTATGGGACACTGGGCATTAGAAAATCTATCTAAAATCTGTGATTACCTCTTAAGGAAAGTTTTTCATGTCTACTCTTTGTTAAGGAATTAGCTTAGTTGCCACCTCATATTATAAATAAGAAAGACTTGTCAAATCCCATTTAAGAATCAAGTGATTACAAATTACTATGTGGTATACTATTTCCTTGAGGAGAAAAAGGATCAGAATTTAAAAGTGTGGCTAAAATCTTTAAGAGGAACACAAAAAACACATAACCTTTTCCCCATCAATCTCTGTGAGCCATTGCAAAATTATTAATGCCTAGTTATGGATGAAGTTTTAGGTGTTGTTTAATTAAGTTGAAACCATGAATACAATTGTTCTAAGAATAAATGTGATTTCTACAACTACATATTTTTTACAAGATAGCAGCATTATTTTAAAATGAGAAGTAAAGTATAGGTGGTTTACCATTTAGTTTTGCAAGAAAAAATGGATATTTTATAAGACCTGTTATATGATCAATTCATATGGAAAGGAAACATTTTTTTGAAACTTATATTTTATTGTACTTGAAAATTGGCTCTATTATATATCCTAATCATTTAATCAGTTTCTGTTTTTTGAAAGACGAGCATCTTAATATAAATCAGATATTTAAAGAGAATTAAGTTACATGTGAGCCATAGTACACTTTTCCATTTAAATTTAACATTTAATACAACTTCAAGTAATTATACATTTGTGAGTATATTCTGGATGAAATTCTATTAATATATCTTCTTCTACTGACCATGTTTTCGGTCTATATTTTTGTTTCTAACGGGAATCACTCACTAATGAGCTTGACCATATGTTTAATTTTCATTTACTCCCCACCTCTATGTTCATCATTACAATGGCTATCCTATGGAGTCTGTGCCTTCCTGCTGTATCTTCTCTTCTCTCTGCCTTTGGCTCTCAATTAAAGGCACTGACTCTTTCAAGCCACATATAGTCTATTTGGTAGTGTATTCTTGCTAGAAGATCCTTGATAGCTCTAGTGTTCTACATGATCTACTAATAGTTTGAAAGAGCTAATTTGAGCTCTTGGGAATCTATATTTAGAGCTTAAGAATCTGTTTCTGCCAAAGAATGAATTAGGCTCTGGACAGAATAGAACCCGCCATATAAGGGGTAGCCAGATTTTGGACTTTCCGTTGGCCTTGGGAACATCACATGTCCAAACAGGAACTTATACAATAAATCAAGATATGACTTAAGAACAAGAATCAGGCTAAATGGTGCACATTTATACTATTTGTAGAGCTTAAGGAGGAGTAAAGGGGTAAGGTAGAAAGCTGTTAAAGGCAGTTTCCAGCATAGAAAGTATGTCTATATATTTTTTCAGCAAAGAGTCTAAAGAACAAGACAAAGAAATTATTCCAAAGGTTAGTGTGTGCAGAGAAAAAAAGTGATGCAAAGGGGAGCATTATTTCTTTCACTACGGTGTATTAGTGTATTAAGTGGAGAGTGTTTGATACTAGTTTATCTATTGATAAACGAAAATAATTTTAGAAAGCTATTGATAGTAGAATCTACTTGCATGCTAAAATCTTGGTATTTGGCTATCATATTTAATGAATTATAAAGTCCTTTTACTTCTTTGAACTATCATATTTATTTTCAAGAACCATGGGACAGGTTCTTATTACACGTACTGTGTAATCTATAAATTTTTGAAATCAATGGATAGTCCTGAAGTAGAAACACTGGATTAGGGCTCAGAAGAGGTGAGTTCAAGTGTCAGTTCTACTAACTCCAAATGTCATATTCTTAGGCAAGTCAATAAATCTTTTTGAGGCTCAGTTTCTTTATGTGTAAAAATTGGGATAATAATAGCTTCCATACCTGTCTTAGGGAGTTGTTTTTTGAGGACCAGATAAAAAATATAAAAACAAAATTTATAAACTATAAAACACTAATGTACCCATATAAGGTATACTGGCTGCTGGGAGAAAAAGATGGGCTTGATTCATAGCAAAACCAAAACAAAACAATTAATAGAACATATATAATTAACTAATGGAATCACGGAGAACTAAGAACACCTCTGTTATGTACTAATTTATGATAATAATAGCTTCCATTTGTTAAATGCCTAAATGCGTCAGTCCTTATCACTCTCCTGGAAAGAGGCATTTTGCTCATTTTGTACATGAGGAAACTGAACTCCAAAGAAGATAAATGACTTGTGTGGACAGACTGGCCAGTAAGTTACTATGAAATTTTAAGTTACTGTAAATTTTACAGTAAGTTATGCAAGTCAGTCTGGTTTAAGGTTTTATACCTTTAACATTACACCATGATGGACAACTTTTCTTTTTATTTTTTTTTATCTGTAAAATGGGAAGATCATCATAATAAGATGATTGGAAAGCACTTTTCAGCTTATAAAGGACTCCTGCCTACATTATTATATTTAGCAATATTGGTCTACTATTTAGAAGATTTTCAGTGGTCACATGTTCATTAATAAATATGTCATTATTTGTTATTATTTTGTTTATAAATGTAGGTATCCTGGAATTCATCAGTGTGGCAGTGGGACTGGTCAGTATTAGAGGTGTGGACAGTGGTCTTTACCTTGGAATGAATGACAAAGGAGAACTCTATGGCTCAGTACGTATTTAAAAAACATTATTGTAATTCTTAAAATTATGACTATCTATTTTGCCAGTAAAAAAAATCTACCAATGATACATGTCAGAAGAAATATATGAAATACAGATATGTAGGAATTAAATATCTGTATCCTGATTAATTTCTATGTGTTTGGGCAGTTGTATAGTAATGCAATTGCAGTTTTTTTTTTTTTTTTTTTTTTTTTAGAGAGAGCACACGCGCGCAAGAGGGGTGTGGGGGAGGGCCAGAAGGAGTGGGAAAGAAAGAGTCTTAAGCAGATTCCATGCCCAGTGTGACCCTGACACCTCACGATCCTGAGATCATGACCTGAGCTGAAATCAAGAGTTGGGGGCTTAACCGACTGAGCCACCCAGGAGCCCTCAATTTCAGTTTTTAAGCCCCAAACATTTACTGCTTTCAGCTTGCTAGTCTGCCTGCCCATTATCCTGGGTCTTTCTACTTCCCTCCATATTTTGATCATTCCTACCAGAGACACAGAAAAATGACATTTTCTTCTTGCCATGTTAAATTCTTTTCAACTTTACATTTATTTAATGTAAATTTTCTCTACCCATGATCATCTTCCATAGCTAAGTATATATGTTGCTGACCTTCATATATAGGAAATGAGTGAATGAAGTCCTAGGATATTGTAGACAACAACAGAAAATGGCAACCACATATCTGGTTGACCATATCTGGATAATTAAAGAGCCATGATTCAAAAAGCAACTGTGGTCTATCCCTTAGGATAAGATACAGTTCATCTTAAAAAGGCAAGAAATCATTAGGCCTTTACTGCATTTATCTAATGGTAACCTCTAGATGAAAGTTAATGATGGGAAATGTATTGTCAAACAATTAATAAATACATTTAGGGAAGATATATGATTTGGAATGATGGTTTTGAATTAGGAATTTGGATGTTAGCAAAATCTTGAAACGTTTCAGAATGATAGTAGAGACTTGCTATGTAGGACTTGGGCATCTAACAATGGAACGAGATAAATGCAGGCCTGTTAGGTGGGGATGGTGATAGGAGGGAGATAAAATGAAACATGGGAGAGTTCTGGATATTTATTAAGTATTTGACAATAAAATTGAAAATTGACATTTAATTTAAAGTTCTTTGAACTAAACTACTAGGAAGTTTAGTTGCCTGGAAGAAAGAATTCCAGGTAACGTAAGAACTAAAACAAAATAAAGCAAAAACAATTCAACCTTTTCCCTTCTTTGACAAGGATGTTGTTATAAGCAAAGCAATAAAAATATAGAGATGAGACTTTTCTAAGGAAATTCTCGCAAAAGTATTTTTTTAAATGATAGTTACCTTCTCTCTTTCAGGAGAAATTGACTTCTGAATGCATCTTTAGGGAGCAATTTGAAGAGAACTGGTATAATACCTATTCATCCAACATATATAAACATGGAGACACTGGCCGTAGGTATTTTGTGGCACTTAACAAAGATGGAACTCCAAGAGATGGTGCCAGGTCCAAAAGACATCAGAAATTTACACATTTCCTGCCTAGACCAGTGGATCCAGAGAGAGTTCCTGAATTATACAAGGACATACTGATATACAGTTGAAGCATGATAGTGTCTTCATTGAAGAGCCAAACTACGACCATTCTTTCTGGTCAGAGTTCTCATTGTAAAATAATAACACAGGACTCTTCTCGGAATGTTATGGGATTTTCTACTGGGTGGCTGAATTTGGAAAGAATATCGAGAACAAACAAAAACCCCATATTTTGACTTGAAGTAGATCAAGACCTCTCTTTCTGAGGGGATTAAGTTCCCTTAGGTACACTGGTTTAGTCCTTACTGGTAGAGTGAAGCTGAAAATCTGTTGAACTGTGGATAATGGGAACCCCACCTGGTTTGCTGCTGGTACCTCACCTCTCTGGATTATGTTTACTTTAAAAGTTACATTAAAAATAGATACTTCATGTTGAAGAAATAAATTGACACCATTGGCCAAGATTATTGCTACATAAATTCTGAGGACCTTGTAGGATTTTGTAGGCTACAGAGTGATATGTAAAAATGCTGGATGAAACATGAACTATAGAACATACTGCACCAAGATGGAACACTTTTTTTTTTTAAGGATGGACCTATTTATACATTTTCAATTTGCAAATATTTATTATATATATATTTATTTATTAAAGAGTTTATTTTTTACTGGTATATGAAGATAATACAAAGAAAAAAAACCAACAAAAATTCTTTTATTGTGCCATTACTTTGTTGTGATGTCCTGAGCTGTAGAAAAGACATCATTTTTGCAACATAGTAAACATAGAATAAAATCTTGAATTTCTTTTTAAAAATAAAGTATAGCATAGGTGATATATTTTTTTGCAGTCAGTTGCCTTCTAAATGTAACACTGGTTCCTTTGGCTTAGAAAAATGCTTTATCAAATTGTATTGAATTCAACACACTTTTAAAAGGGAATTAAACATTTTTATTTTGTGTTTTGGTCTCATTCCTTTCTAGGTGAAAGTTGTTCTATTTATATAACATATTTTTTAAATGACAAAATTCTAGGCTCCTTAGAGAAATACTTTGATATTTAGAGAACTTCTAATGCTGAAAATTATGAAACATTATAGGCAACTTATGCTCACTTATTTTCTTGATTCAGTGTGGCAAAGACCAATTCCCCACCCCCCCAACTATGATCACAGAAAGAATTAGTCTGTGTGGCACCAGCATTAATAATGGTATCTGAGTCTGGTACCTTTTTCATTATATCTCCTATTTAGTCATTTACTCAGGAAATATTCATTAATGCCTATTATACAGAAGAAATATTTAGGTGCTAAGGAAGATGGTGGTCAAGACAGAAGTTCATGGAACTTAATGTCTAGTAGGAGAAACAGATGGTAAACAAGTAAGCTAACAAATAAATGCCATAACTGTGAATTGTGATGTGCTCTGTGCAGGAAGCGAGGTTCAGACACAGGAAGGAGAGAACAAATTTAGATAGGATGAGTCAGAGAGGGCTTCTCTAAGGAGCTGACATTTTTGATGGGCTGGAAAGAATAAGGAGCTAGCTAGCCTAAGAGGAGAATAAGAGCCTGATAGGAAGAGGAAACAAGAAACCTGAAGTCCCTATGGTGAGAAAGAGCTTTGTGGCTGGAGTGTAGTGAGTGACTGGGACAGGGGCACAGATAAGTTTAGACAACTTTGCACATACAAATCTAGATGCAGCATTGTCGCTGAGGATGTCGTAATGATAATGGTAGCAGCCACCACCAGTTCCCAACTTGGAAGGCTTGGTGAAACACAGATTGCTGGGTCCCAACCCCAGAGCGTCTGATGTGTAGATCTGGGGTAGGGTCTGAAAATTTGAATTTTTAAGAGGTTTCCTGGTTATACTGATGTAGTTGGTCTGGAGATCACACTTTGAGAACCACTGGTCTAGAGCCGTGTTTCTCAAACTTTAATGTACCTACAAAATCACCTAGGGGGCTTGTTAAAGGATGGGTTTGTTAAATTATAGGTCTGGGGTGGGGGTGGGTCTGAGATTTTGCATTTCTAACAATGTCCCAGGTGGTGCTTGATGCTGCTAGACCACAGATTGTGCTTTGAAGGGCAAGACCTACGAATGCTTTAATGCTATTTGGAGTTACGCCGACTACTTCAATAAATTCCACCTCTCATTACTTAAATAAATTAATGATGATGTGTGGGGTGAGGATAGAGTGTTCAAGATATAACTTTAATAAAGCTACATGGGAATGTGTGTGTGCAGTGAGGGGAGTTGTGCGTGCCCTTGATGTGTACTCGGTGAGAGACAGAGATAGGGAAATGTTTCAGCTCAAAACCTCTTGGTTTTATAAATGTAAAAAATAATAAAAAATGGTTTTACAGTAATAGTTAATAATTTTCAAAATAAAATAGATCTTTTACTTTTATTTTAAATAAAAGTAAAAAAAAAGAAACTAGTTTGGTTCAATGTTTGATACCTATATTTAAAGTACCTGTCCTCAAGCAAGCATTATGCAGTATTTCAAGTCCTTTCCAAAATGATGCTGGGGTCTGAACTTATATTTATAGAGAAAGTATTATAAATTTAAAGAGACCATACACTGATAAAAGATGGCCCACCATAAATATCGTTATTGAATCAAAAAAAATTTTTTTTGGAGATATGATGAGAATACGGGTTAACTTTTTTTTTTTTATTGTGGTAGCTGCTTGTAATGATTTGAGATATGAAGTATGAAAGCTTTACAAACTTTTGGAAAACTAAGAAGTCACTGTATCTTGTGTTCTCATTATACTTACATCTTGACAGCTCTTCCTGGGTGCAAAACACAATTTGCACCTGCCGAATTTGTACTATCTGAAGAAATGACCTATTAGGTATCTGAATAGATTTCACTTGATACTCCTAAAGGGAAGTGGTGTGTGAACACATTATTTAATGCATATATGGAAGGATAATAATAATTTGGTTTATTATCAAATCAATAGTTTGAAAACAATTTATTATATCCCCAGGATGCTAGGGGAAAATCTCACCATTAGTCATCCTTTTTGCTTCCTTTAATTTCCTTTCATTTTTAAATGTTCTATTAACAATCACATATTAAGTTACATTTACCATTTTTTCTTGCCTGGAATATTAACTATCAACTGCCCAACTTCCCTACATTTACTGCAATGATAAAAGAAATCTAAATACACAGAGGTTTGGTCAAGCTTTGGTGTGCCAATTCCAAAAAGTCTGGTTTTCAATTAAATTCAATGTCAAAACAATTCAGAAACCTAAAGCTATCAACCATGCGTGAGACTCTAGATCTATGTAAACTTAATATATAGGAGTTAGAAAGCACTCAGGCCAGCACTTATATTTATAATGCAGTGTATGTGCCAGTTTTGTGAATTAACTAGTGATCAAAAATATTACATATATGCATCAGAACTCTGACTTCAATACATAAGCGTTATGCTTATAAATAGGCAGTTTCTAATTTCTAATGATAAAATTTAAGAAGCTATTATATACTATTGGCAAGTGAGGAGTTAGTACATCAAACAACTCCTATGCGTTCAGTGCATGGTGCTTCCACCAGCAAAAATAATTTTAGGAAATCGGGAGTGGGGGGTTAGTCCAGATAAATCCTGGTTTCAAATTTCTCACAATCGACACTTTTATAAAATGTTTCCATTTCAGTTTAATCTAGACAGAGACCTATAAACTGAAGTTGGACTCAATTAACCTCAGCCTGTTGGTTCTTAGGATGATATTATCCTCAAGATATATATGATATGTGAGACTAAGGCACATCACTTTCCTCCAGTCAACAATATGGTATTAGGGTATTTTGGTTAATAGTATATATTGGTTGGTGTGATTAATGCATACAATTCCTTGATCTAATGTTAGAGTTGCTCAGTGTCTTCCTATTGACAGAGAAGGGTTTAGTATGACACCCCATTGGAACAAACCTAAATATTTTCATAGAACCTACAACTCATATTATTCTAAGGTTCCCAAGCTGAGCCTACTAACCAAACCTCCTGAGGGCTAGTAGCATGCACAGAGATAGTGCTGAAGAAGTTGAAAGGAAGAGAAGGGATACATATTTCATGCAGTTGGTTGAACAGTTCACTTCTGGCTGAACAAAACAATTCTGCAGGTCACACTTGGACACTTAAATTCCTTAACAATTGTCTTTCTTTTACCTGGTTGGTAATATATAAATGATGATGTGGAAATGAAGGAACAGTATTGAACTGGCAATGTTTATACCTAATACCAATTTTTCTTCCAGTAGGGACTTATAAATTATACATGATTTTAAAACACTTCCTTCAACTGTTTTCCAAGCATACTACAGCAAGTTTCATTGTTCCTGTGATTATTTTCAGCTCAACGACACTTTAGTTCTTTGCGTAGGGATGAGTTTTGCACAGTCTGACTCATTAGAGTGGCCATATGTTGACTGGTGAATTTTTTTTCAACTGAGTTTTGCAAGAGAAGTTATCCCTATAGAAAAATAGTGTGACTATTTCTTAATTCTCCCAGGGAACATATCTGGTGCCATTTTAGATGTATAGAACACAAGTTAATGTATTACACATAATCGGTCTGTTGGGACTTAATTCTCTCATGAATCCCATTGAGACTCTGTTGTGAGATTGGCTATGCTATCTTCTAGAGTGCTTCCTTCTCTCTGCATAATTAGCTGTTTCCCATAGAACAAGACATATTAATATAATTCTATTAACCAAAATTCTATATACCATACAATTTTTAATGTTTGGGTACTAGTGTATTCTGAGCATGACACCAAAGTCAATCAGATCTAAGGAGACTCTAAGAGGCTCACACTATTTCATATTCTTCATATTTCTACCCCAAAGAGCTGGAATGAAATGTTCTAGTTATGTGGCGCAGGTGCACTGCCTTGGATTTGTGGCAACAAACACTTACTGAATAGTCTACCAAATAAATAGATATTTAATTTACTTTGTTGTATAGCTGTAAGTGTTCTAGTGTTCTTTTTAATCATGTTGATACATTAATCACCCAGAGACAATCTTAGAATGTATATAAATCAACTTTCATTAGCATTAATTAGTTTTTCTCATTGTTAAAATAGAACAGATTGATCTTTTTTCTGGTTGAGTGTTCTTCCACATGTCCCAGCTTTGCCTGTTCAATGTATGATTGGATGTAATTAATAGTTTGAGACCAAGGATATTCTCTGTATAGAGACCCCTCTAGAATGGGAGGCTAAAATGTATCAAATGGCTCAGGACAGCTGGTTAAATGTTTCCATATATGCTGAAAGTAGCTCTGTCTCTCATCAGAGTAAGCAGCCTCAAGCTCAGGCCTCCAAAGAGCAATTGATTAGGACAATCCGGGTGTAGTGAGGTTGTACCCTAGCCTTACCTAGTAGTATCCAACCACTGAGTAGAAGGATCACAGAACTACGCTAGAAAAGAAAAATATGGGGGAAAAAAAGATAATCAGAGGCCTCTTAGTTTTAAAAGGTTTCTGGACTTTCAGTTAAAGTCCTGGCTCTGTTTGGCAAAATATTCAATATTTCCTGGTTCCTCAGTTACTGAAGTTGTGTGTATGATTTGGCTTTTAAGTGGTTCATATGCACGCTGCCACCTATTTCGTCAAAGGAAGTTTTAATATTTATTTTAACATTTCTAGCATTCAGAAATGAATATCTGTGCTTATTTCGTCGTTTCCCCCCTCAACATAACTAAAATATAATAAAATATAATTTTAGATATAAGTGTTTACTTTTATTTTTTTAAACCCATTTTCCCCCGGCGAATCATGTATTCTTTGTCGCAATTCAGTAAATAAGTCAGCTTTACTTCTATTTTCTCTCTAGTGCTTTAATAAAGAATTGCATCCGAATTGCACCAGATCCCTTTATGGTGGTGGGTATGGCCAGGTATGTCTGAAGTTCTAGCATGTTTTTTGG